GGTTCTACTGCGAATATCCTCATTTTTAAGTCTATCACGCAGAGAAACTTCGAGCATAGCCCCCTTCACAGCTCGCTGAACGACCTTGAGCTTTCTCATACGGCCAGCAGTGAAGGACAACGTCTCAGATCCATAAGTCGTCACTGGCAACAATCTTGTTTTGATGTTTTGAGGTATGCCTGACGAGATGTGTCGCATAATCTCCCATGAACTTACTAAATATGCTCATATTCGAGAAGGCCCCTTCTAAATTCACATGTCGTGACGGGCAACTACGGAACCCTACATCGACATTGTGCGTGACCCGACACGCAATTGGCCAGTTGTTTTTTGTTTAGTCTTGCGACTTAAGTACGTTAGGTACTGTTTTTATAAATTATGATTTCTAATAATAAAAATGTTTTTCAATACAAAAAAGCTTTAAGCCTTTGTATATAATGACGTCAATGCGGATTTAGCAGTATTACAACAAAAAACTGCGGTTGCCAACCCACCGAGCGTAGCAACTATGGCAAATACCCCCCAAGATGAAAGTTACGAATGGTGGCCCGGTGGCCCCACTATTCCTGGCTACGGTGGCGACGATGGTAACGGCGGGACAGGGGGTGTTAAGAATCTCCGGTGGAGGTTCGGTTGCCACCTAGGGCGACTCGATCTGACAACATACAACGCACGCACCTTGAGGACTGACGAGAAGATCGTGGACTTGGAAGAAGAGATAGACAAGTTACGCTGGCATATTATAGGATTATCCGAGGTCCAAAGTGAGGGGGAGGACACGGTAATCCTCGAATCTGACAACTTGTTCTATCACAGGGAGGGCGACCATCTATCCCAAGAAGGTGTCGGATTTATCGTCCACAAGCCTCTCGTTAACAACGTTGTAAAGATTGTGAGTGTGTCGACGAGGGTTGCGTACCTCATACTCAGAATCACCAAACGGTATTCGTTGAAGATCATACAGGTTTGCGCAACAACTTCGGCACATCCCGATGAGGAGGTGGAGGAAATGTATGAGCATATATCTAGAGCCATGCATTCCTCCAAAACCCACTATACGTGTTAATGGAAGACTTCAATGCAAAACTAGGCTCAAGAGAGAACGATGAGCTGAAGGTTGGGAAATTTGGAATAGGGTAACGGAACCCAAGGGGCCAGCAGCTGGCCAACTTCATGGAGAAAGAGGGACTCTTTATGATGAACTCTTTCTTGCAGAAGCGGCCCCACAGAAAGTGGACTTGGTTGAGCCCCGACGGTTCGACAAAAAATGAGATTGACTTATGAAGACCAGACGAGTACTGTTCAGTGATGTCTCAGTGATCGCGAGGATGAAAACTGGTAGCGATCACCGAATGGTTAGAAGCACACTAAACCTAAACCTTAAGTTGGAAAGGTGTCATCTAATGAAGTCAACGCTCCGTCCCCCTCGTGCTTTAGTGCAGAGTCCCGAAACCTTTCAGCTCGAGTTACAAAACCGTTTTCAGTGCCTAGAAGACGGCAATAAAGTGGAAGATATGAATGATAAGCTCGTAGAAACAGTCCATGCGATCGGAGCTAAGTTCTGCAAGACCCGCCGCAGAAGAACCCAAAAACTCTCCCATTACACTCTTAATCTCATGGCTCTTAATCTCAAGGGAAATGAAGCTGCAGTCTTTAACAAATTTGACAGCATAGAGGCAACTGAACAGACAGATCTCCAAATGCATGCGGCGGGACTTACGCAAATTCAATACAGCTTGTATTGAAGAAGCAATCGAGCGGAACCAAGGCTCCAAAGTCTTTTCCAGAGATCTGTTTGCCAGAAAGAGCCAACTGTCAAAACTGAAGAACAAGAGTGGCAGCATCGTTTCCGGGATACCTGAGATTTTGAGGGAGATTGAGAAGCTCTATGGGCAACTGTACACGTCATCGTTGGAGCCACACGCAAGTGTGAGTAACGATCCAAGAGCGAATCTTATCCGACACTAATCTGGGTGAGATTAGAATGACTCTCCAGCACCTTAAAAACGGCAAGGCGCCGGGTGAGGATGGAATTACAGCGGAGCTTTTGAAAGCGGGTGGAAAACCGGTACTTGAAATTTTTCGGAAGCTCTTTAATTCCGTCCTCCATGGTGGCACTACTCCGGAGGCGTGGAGCAGAAGTGCGGTGGTCTTGTTCTTCAAGAAAAGTGACAACGCTCTTTTGAAGAATTACAGACCGATTTCCCCTCTGAGCTGCGTCTACGTGCTGGCGAGGACATAACTTACCTTTGATTTGCCGACGATATAGTCCTTATGGCAGAATCGCTGGAGGACCTAAGCACTATGCTAAATGACCTCAATAGTGTCTCCGAACGGATAGGTCTTAAGACGAACATGGACAAAACAAATATCACGTTTAATGTCCATGTCACACCTATGCCGGTAGTTGTTGGGAGCACTAAGCTCGAAGTTGTTGACGAGTATAATTTACCTGGGGTAAATAGTCCGACCAGGTAAGTCCAAATTCGACGCAGAGGTCAATCGACGGATTCAAATCGGCTTGGCAGCGTTCGGGAAACTACGACACATCTTCTCGTCAGGTATACCTCAAAACCTAAAAACGAGATTGTACAACCAGTGCGTGTTGTCATTGATGACTTATGGATCTGAGACGTGGTCCTTCACTGCTGGCCATATGAGGACGCTCAAGGTTGCTCATCGAGCTATGGAGAGGACTATGCTCGGAGTTTCTCTGCGTGATAACATCAGTAGAACCAGAGTAACCGACATAGCTCAAAAGATTAGTAAGCTTAAGTGGCAATGGGCCGGCCATATAGCTCGAAGAACCGACAACCTATGGCGAAGAAAGGTTCTCGAGTGGCAGCCTCGTACCGGTAGACGAAGTGTAGGGCGACCTCCCACTAAATGGAGTGACGACCTGGTAAGATGTGCATGTAGAAAGTCGATGGATGCGGGTGGCTCAGGACCGTGCTTTGTGGCATTCCTTGGGGGAGGCCTATGTTCAGCAGTGGACTTATGAAGGGCTGTAATAACTAAGAATACGATACTCAAAACAAAAAAAAAATTAAAATTATTGTCTGTCTGTTTGTTTGTTCCGGCTAATCTTCGAAACGGCTGGACCGATTTTGACGAGACTTTCACTGGCAGATAGCTGATATTAAAAGGAGTAACTTAGGTTATTTTTATTTTAGAAAAATAATTAGGGTTCCACGCAAAAAAAATTAAAACCCATGAAATCGTAGTAAATTCCACGCGGGTGAAGTCGCGAGGGACAGCTAGTAAGAAAATAAGTAAAAGAAAATTTTATTTTGTAATACACAGTACACCATTCAACGTGATAGAGCCTGCTGCAGCTATATTATAGTTGTAACACGAATGGATCTGCTCGTCCAGGGAAGGACCACGCTCTCACAGAACACCAACGCAAAACAGCAGCTTAATGCTGCTGTATTTCGTATGGTTAGTGTAGAGAACTGGAGACTCTTTTTGCTAGAAACGAGGCATTCCATCTTAGTCCTCAAGGGTGACAACGCGTTTGCAATTTGAATTTTAATTAAGTATAGATGTAGATGTCCATAGACCACAGCTATGTATGAATACTTTTGTTCCGATGGTAGATAAGAGTGCTACCAGTAACAATCAACATAAATTTATATATTTTTTGGTTTTATTTAAAAAAATGTATATTTTTATCTTATGTAAATAAATGCATAATTACAGGAATTATTCGAAGATAACAATTTACGTTATTTTACGATGTGTCCGACCAACAAAGATAGACGTATCGCTGCGTACATTTTAAATGATGCCGAACACACACATCTTTCTTATATTTTTCTTTACTATTCCGTAAAAATCACAGCACGCACAGATATGCAACTAAAAGCATGTTGTTGCTTGCAAATTATTTTAAATGCATATGTGTACGTGAGTTACAGTAAAATATTCTAGCAATAAAATGCTGCTAGCATTTTGGCTTGACTTTTGCGTCATTGAAATGTATTCAGCGCTCTGTCTTTCTTTCTATAATGGTCTCAGTACGATGTATAATACATTACTACTATTACTACATCATCAGCCTTTAAGAGTCCACTCCTGTACATTGTATAGAGAATTTGTCTTTTTTTTTTAAGTAAGAATACTAGAAGTGCCTATAACATTACTAAAAGACCTTAAACAACTCCAACTAAGCTTCAAAACGCCTGTACTAGAAATGGTTTACAATAGACTTTTGAGTTTCGCAGTCCGTATACTTGACCTAGGCTACTTTCATTGTATTCACATATAACCGGCGAATTGACGATCGTAGCACCAGACGTCTGGTACCCTTGACGCTGCAACCCGTCGCCGATCTGAGTACATCTCATAGTCGCTCCTTACGACACTCCTAACCCATAATATATTGTACAGAATGAGATTAAAATTATCTATTTCTTTTTAATCTTTTCTAAAATCACTAAGTTGACATGAGCCTAGTAAATTTGCTATTAGAAAGACTTATTTATTGAAGCCTATCCCATTCTTACCACATTCGGCGAATTGATAAGCAGAGCCGACACCTTCGCACCGGTAGTGTAGGCACAGACCATCGCCATAATATCTTCATCCGTCAGTCAGCAGGGTGTGCCAAATATCGTTGTTGACAACACCCAAATTCAAATTACCATTGGACTATCATCATAACCATCATTACAGCTTATTAAAAGTCTACTACTAAACATAGGCCTCCTCCATAGGGGATATTTGCTAAACTGGCACGCTTGGCAGGCGGTTTGGCAACCACATTTTTATGTTGAGTTATTGTCAGGAAGATACTGTTACTGTCCATCTCCTGTTTTATTACCACCTGTTGCCTCTTCCACATCCACGGGATGACATGTGGTAAAGTATTCCCTTACACCGCTACTGCACGTTGGAGTATTTTATTTTAATTAATGAAATTCACACTTTAACATATAGTTTTCAAAACAGGTCAAATTGTAAAATTAAAAATATTAACAACAAAAAAATCGACTCACAATCTCCTAAGTATCCCGCAGGATATCCCTCCAAAGCCTTGGAACTGTACATCGAGGTAACATGACTAGTTGCGAACATCAAACAAACGTAAAACAACCCGAGAAACATTGTGGCAACGTCTCCGTGTTTCACAGTACGCAGACCCCACGTGCACTGAACGTCCAAACTGTACCAATGTCAATGTCCCAATGCGGTTACGTCGAACGTGGTAGTGTGTTTATGATAACATAAAGACGCAACGTTGCTCGTATGCAATGTAGACTATCCTTATAAGCGATAAAGTTAGATTACTCATTCACAGTTAAGAACGTCTTTTATAAGTATTCGAATTTTATATAAAAGTTTTGGATTCCTGGTTTTTTTTTGGTATATAATGAATAAATTTGCATGTATTAGTCTCAAAAATTTTAAAGGTACCGTTGGTTTTTTTTTTAAATAAATGTACATATGTAGGGGAAGTTTGCTATGTTTGGATCACTAGCAGGTGGTAAGAGTCCTTTCTTGTCTATGGGACCGTCTGAGTAGGTATCTCTATCTCTTACCAATTTCTGTCAATAAACAGCAGTGCCGGCACTGCTGTTCTTCAATCTGAAGAGTATAGAGAGTCAGAATAGAAATAAGCGATGAGATATTCCATCTAAACCTTCAGAGGTGACAGCTCATCTCCATGAAGCCTGCTTGAAGTTGGCTGCAGGTGTCCATGTCCATTCACCACTTACCATCAGGTGGGCTGTTGGTTCGTTTATCACTTTAGTATTTTTTAAATTAATTTATTTATTTACTTATGCACCAACAAGATATAAGCTTTACAAATTTCAAAAAAATTAAAAATCTCTTAATCTTACAACGGAATATGCATTTTTTTGCACCCAGAAGCAATTGAAAAGGGCTAGGGGAGGTGGTGAATGCACTAAGCATACCACGACAGCCGGCTGACGTGGTTATGTGGGACTCACTGCGACTAACCTAACCTAACGTAAGTGCCTACCCACTAAAAACCACCTATGAGACTGGCATTGCCTTATGAAGCCTTTCTGCCGAATTGGAAGCGACCCTCTTTAGGGAAAAGGGGGCGCAGGCGGCGACCAGCCGCTGAGGGGGAGCCTAACTAAGGTAAATTAAGAAGAGTCGGCCTGAGCCGCCAGGAGACAGTTCAGGTCAGTCGAAAGCTTGTTTGGCTGGTCCGAGAGAGAGTTTCTCGGCCTGCGGACTCGATAGCGAGAGGGGAGTGGGGCTGCATAAGTAGCTGCCTCACGAATGAAATGATTGGAGTGAGACTCCGAGGCTTTGAAGAAGTTCTCAGAGAGTGTTTTTAGAAATTGTTCGATTGTGGGGAGCTCTAAGTCTCTATGGAGGTCAGTGTTATGGACGAACCAGGGTGCGTTCGTAGCTCGACGGCAGAAAAGGTTTTGAACTATTTGGAGTTCGTTAATGATTTTGGGGTCAGCGTGAGCAAATATAGGGCCCGCGTAAGTCATGACTAGTCGTATACAGACCTTATAAAGGGTTCGCTTGTTTCAGAGGGACATTTTACTGTGTCGGCCCAGCATACTGTTGAGCCTACTCAGATAAAAATGTACGTTGCGGGTTACTATTTTGACATGGGGCCCGAAGGTGAGCCTCGTCTCAAGGGTGACACCTAAATATTTGGCGGACGTATGCCAAGGGACAGGGGTCCCTAGCATACGAACAAGCTTCATCTTAAATATAGGTAACCATGGATAGGTAAAAATAACAAGTAGTAGAAAAATAAAACGCTTAAAAAAGGAAATTTGCAAGTAGAGAGAACTAAACAAACGAGCAAATTTGTCTTCGATAGTGAATAATTGTGAGTTAATTAATTACGAATGTTATACTTTTCAATTTTATGATTTTATATTTTATATTTTTGGAGTACAGATAAGACGAGATTTTTCGCTTAAATTTTCGAGGACTAAGTGCTAAATCGATATCCAATACTTTGTTAATTAGACTGTACTGGGTTCATAATCGAATTACACACGAAACGTGTCCCAAATTACTTTTAAAATGTTTTAATCCTAAATGCGTGCATTTTGTGTATTTTCGATATACGCGGGAACTTATGGGGACTATGGAATTACAACAAAAACATTTTACGTCCTTATATCTCATTTATTTTAAATGCGTTTATGACACCAGTAAATAATTTTAATTTTTTGTATAATTTATTAACTAAAATCCTACTCAATAGCATATCTTGACATGAGTCTTGACTCAAGATAAAGAATATGGTGCCATCAATAAATCAAAGGTTGCCATCAATTTACTTAGAACAATTTGTATTAAGTTAGGGGTCTAATCATGTGCAGACATGATAAATCAAAATTTTATGAAATAATATATTTAAGATGAACACTTAAAATTGTCATGATATAAAGATAAATATTATAAAATTTTTAAATTATAATTTAAAATTAAAAATGCTGAATAACCGACTTCAATATAAGTTGTTAAGAATAACTCAAGAACTACTGGTCAGACTTTAATCAAATTTATATGGGACCACATGGGAAGCACCAGCTGTAAAATAAAAAAAGGATCATTGAAATCGGTTCACCGAGTAAAAAGTTATGAGGTAACACACATAAAAAAACATACAGTCGAATTGAGTACCGTCTACTTTTTTAAGTCGTTAGAAAATAATAAAAACAGGACATTCACGACCATGAGACCAGGAAATTAGAAAAATAGCCATTAATACCACAACATAATTACTAAACATCTAATTGAACTAGTAAAAGACGTACCATTTTTTCTACGTTGTAGTTGACACCCGTACGGTCAACATGAACCCAGAGTTTGAAAATAAGACCATGACATCTACTTCACATGTATACTAATAAATAGGCACCGCTCTTTAGATGATAGCCTACGCAAATTCAGTTTTGGAATCTTGACAAATAGTCGAGTCAAAAGACCTGCTCAAAATCTTTCTACTCAATGCTACTTTAAGCCTTCTTAAGCGTGATTGATGGGCTTTCATTTTTCTTTAAGAATGTGGGTGATAAACATGCACACAGTCCTCCTGCTGAGGCCAAAAGATACCTGCATCTATCGGCGATTAATAATCAAGATGTAGATTGGGTTGTCACCCCTGAGCACTAAGAACGCCTCACTTACTATACAAAACATTATCTCCTCGACTCAGAGCTTAATCAATAAAATCTGATTAATATAATAATTAATAGTTTTTGTATGTTCTTTAATAAGTGTTGAAGGCGTAGCATCATCATTGTTGTCATTAGGCCTAGGTGATACTGATTCATATATGTATGCCACGGGCCTCTTAATTAACAGAAAATCCATCAAAATAACATTATAATATAACATCAAGTTAACCATGATTGGAACAGCTAAATGTGTACTAACCTCTGTGGTCAAAAATAAGGTTAAAAAGATCACTAGCCTATATTTTTTAACAAATTTAATTTCAAGTTCGTTTTCTAATACTTATATAACGCATACACAGACAAGAAACCTTGGTTTTCAAATTAGTTTATTCTCCCAGTGATTTTTAATGATTCGGTTGTCTTAACTACGTGTTAAATACGTGAGGTGTGTGTGCTGCTTGAACTTGGCCTTAAAATGTAACTCTCTAGTTAGTCTAATTCTTGCAATCATTAAGTGGTCAAATGTAGTAAGAGATACACGACAAAACATGACAAAAGTGAATACTAAAAACAATTCCACTGATATATCTATAATATTATCTCGTAATTTATGTCAACATATAATTCAAAGCCGGAGTTAGTAAGTTACTCCCAGTAAAGGAATAACTTAAGTTCAATTCGTACGTCCAATTTCATTCTACACTCATTTCACCCACTGACTTAGTTGTAACAATAGTCTCCCCAGCGGGTACGAGGTATCAGGTTCATAACCTATGCTTCCCTAAATTGAAAAGCAGAGGATTAATTTTAATGGGCATAAAACTATACTGATTTTTGTTTATAATGGTTTGACAAAATAGCTAACATTAAATGGATACTATTCTATGAAGATATTGGATAAGTTCAAGCATCTTCAAACAAAGAACCGATGTGTTTTTATTAGTAATAAAAACACATCGGTTCAGTAGTACAGTTCAGAGTAATAACCGACAGAGAAGGCATAGATCAAATGAGTTTTTACATCTTAGTCCTCCGGGGTGACAACGCATCTGCATTTTTATTATTAACCGATAAATGATGTAGATATCCACGGGTCACAGAATCCACCTACCTTCATGTGTACTGTGACCCTAATTCAGTAAAAAAATTAAAAGAACGACAAACGAGCTGAGAGTCTACTTCGTGATAAGTGCCCTCCGTATCCTATAGACATCTGCCAAATCAAAACAAAGAATACAAAAGTTATGTTGTCATCACTCGATGACTTAGATGGAACGTTTCCTGGCACGTAATTGTATAAAGATTTTTAATTATACACATTTAAATCATCGTCTTTAGTTCATTAGCAGGATATTTACAGTAATAACGTTGATGATAACTATGTATATCCTTTGATTAATGCGAAGAAAATGCTCACTCGATACAAATACAATCATAAAGCTATATATATTATTTACTACCGATTAGCTCAAACTTTGCATGGACGCAATTTTCGCAACGTGGTTACCTTTTTACAACTTGATTAAAAAACGTGGCCGTTTCTCTAAAATCTCTCAATAAAAATGAATGTATTATTCACTCAACCCTTCTTTTAAGTGAAAGTGATAAAAAAAACCTGCGAAGTTCAACAATCAGTTTAAAAGTGTTACGATTGTTTTTTTAAATCTTCATCATCCGTTACTTGCATTATAGCTTAACAGAATATTAAAGTGAAATTATAGAACTTTAAATTTTATGCATACAACAATTTTTTATTTGTGTTTTTCTCTATATTATTAATAAACTGTAAATTTTAATTTGTTTTTGTTGTGCATAACATATTTTATCGTTTTTATAACTTGTATGTGATGCTTGAACAGTCAGTCCTTTATCGAATACACCGATGGAGCCGGATATTCGACTAATATTGCCTTTGTTTTAAACTGGTCTCTTTGAACTGTAATAGATATGGTTTAGTTTAGAATCCTAAATTCAATT